TGTGGAAGGGAACTGAGTCTATCTCTGAGGAAAGCGTGCAAGCTCCCCTGCTATTCCCAATGTTTTTTAGTAAAGAAGCTGTAAAAGCATTAAAATGTACAGAACTACCTTCTCTCCTTCCTGCTAGCCAGCAAGGACACTTTCCCAGCTAATCCAGAAAAATTACCCCCCAGAGAAAGACTAAATGCTAAAGAAAACTTGATGTTGCTGAGATTCCTTTTACAGTCCCATATCCCTATCAAAAATGCCACAAGAGAGCCCAGTGCCCAAAGCAGCATGGGTACTGTACCCAATACCTGCAGAATTGTAGTTATGGTTCTATGTATCCTATGCAAATTCCCAGAAATTCCCAGTCTTCCTAGAACATTGACATTTACACCCACATTCAGAGCACTGTTCAGAATTATCATAAAAGATCAGAGTGCAGCCTGGAGGCCAGTGTAATCATAATTTGACCATGCTGGTATATTTACTCTAGATAATAGAGTTTATTTCTTCTTATTTTTCCTTTTTGCTGCTTTTACCTTGGTCTCTCCCTGTGGAAGTTTAACTACTGACTATCATGGGAGGAAGAAAAAACTCAAAATCCTGGAAAAAGTGTGATAGATTTTTCCCACACATGAAAGAAAACCAGTCAAATAGTAGGAACAGAGATTAGACTATATAGATTAAGAGGGGTAACACATGAGGCTACATGTTCCATGGGCTAAGCAAAAATTTAATAACAGTTATATGTGCTTAAAGGACTTGCATAAGAGAAGGCATTTTTAAATGAAAAATCTAGAATGAAACCTGAGAAGTACTTATGCAGTTAGTCAGACATGTGACTTAAGATATGAGGAAAGACATTTCTAAAATCTCATACAAAAAAACCCCACAAAACTTAAGTTTTACTCCAACAGTATCATAAATTCTTCTCACACACAGTGTTAGTACAGGAGAAACCAAAATCATGGAGTGTCTTTCAAATATGGACTCTTTGCAAGTGAAGTAATATTCTTGGGTATTTAGTCAAATGAACATGTACACAGAGTAGGACACATGCCCATCATAGGATAGGTGGTACATCCATCTAACTCTTCCTAGAGATTTCTTTATGGAAACCACCAAAGAACCTCTGTAATTTAATCACTGGCTGCTGCAACTGGCTGCCTGCCTGTTAATTGCTTGGACAATACCCAAATTGTCAGACCAAAAGACCACCCAGTGATTCATTGGGCTGTCACTTCATATAACCAAAGCAACAAATATAAGAAAGAGTGCCTGAAATGAGTCTTTGCTTGTGATGTCTTCTCTGATATTTTCTCAGTATCCAATCCATTAAAATTGTTTATCACCTTCTTTAAAAAGCTTGAAATGTTATTGCTGCAAATCTCAAGTTCCTAAGGAGCAGTTATAGTCCAAAGTGATTCTGCAAAAATATCTCTAAGGAAAGCCAGTTTGGTAGTTCTAAGAGTTTCTATATTGTACTACTCAGGTGATTCTGCTACTTAAGCCCAGTCAGTTTGGGCAGGGATAACGAAAATCTACCAACAATTTATTATGGAATTTTGCTTTTGTATTAACTTACAAAGTGCCATGACCATGCTTTTATATACCCTTACAAAACTGCTCCAATGTACTACACAGAGATAACACTAACATGGTGACAGTTATTTTAAATTTCTAGGAGCTTTTAAAATATATTTTCATTATAGGTCATGAATAATCAGCACTATATAAATATAAATTCTAAATGTATGCTTGGTTGCAATGCATAGAACTCTCCCATAACTACACTGAGTATATTACCAGTGAGGTAGAGGGAAGGTGAAAAGATATTTTTTATTACTTAAGCAGTGGCGTAATTTTGAAAATATAGGAAAAAATTATATTTGGGAGACCTTGAAGCAGCTTTTTGACCAATATCTGCTCAATAGAATGAAATCTAACATTGATTTAATGGATGCTATGAAGTGAGAAGTAAAACCCATCAAATCTTCAAAATATATCCTAAAAAGCAGCAAAAATATACTTGCTCTCAGCATGCATTAGTCTGGAAGACATTTAAGAAGAGAAGTGCTTTTCCCATTTCCAGTGTCCAAGGCATTGTACTCAACAAGTGTAGGAGAGACAAAAGCTGGCTGCTTCAGTGCTTTGATGCAACACGTGTCCAGTTGCTGCTCTTTTCTCATCACTCATCTACTTTTACTGTTGTCACACATTTTATCAGCCAAGAATTTCTGCTTTCCCTTTGTAAATCCTTTGTCTGAAGCAGCAGCTGAGGAGTGCTGTCACTCCAGGACATGTATCACGACATCTGTACCACGTTTTTGGTCACAGCCCCATTAGGCATTAGAGGATTGTTAGGTCAGAGCCCATGCACTGATTGTGGAGTGAAGCTGAGCCAGACCCTCCCATGTGGAATCCTGGCCTCTGCAGAGTGCCTGACAAACAGCTGGGTGATCCCCTGTGCCAAGGGTTTCTATTTCACACCACACAGCAAGGGCATCTGAGGGATATCAGCTCCCGGTTCTCTCCCAGCTTCTGCAGAGGGTTAGAACAGACCTGCCCAAATCTGCAGCTGTGCCAGCTGGCTGGGGGTGGCTCAGTGCCACAGTCTGCCCACTTTCCCAGTTACTTCAGCTGATCCCATAGTCAGTGTGGACTAAACCTCCACCCAATGCATCCTCAGACAGGATGCTATGGAATGACATATGCTGTCCATTGGATATTTCATCTCCTTCTTCAGCTGCTACTGGTTTAGAAACACTGATCTACTTTGTATGACAGCTCACCATAACACTACTGTTTGCCCCCAGCATTTAAACAATATTTTCTAGTTCAAGTCACTACCATCATTATGCTTGTGCTAGTTTTCCCTCTGTGTACAGTTACACATGTAACACCTGCTTTTATCTCCGAGGGCCTGGAGATGATCTCACAAAGTGTCCCTGAGGTTTCAGCTGATGCTGCAGAGACTAAGACTGCTAGATAGCTTTGATTCTGGGTCTCAGTTTTGCTGCTTCTCCTTCAAAATCTCTACACTATTCAAAGATAAAGATATTTCAACCTTCAAAATGCTTTTTTTCCAGATGATTCATGATACTTTCTATAAAGCATTGAAATTACTAGAACCTGTACCACAAAATCTTACACTGTGTATCCCACTACCTTTATCTGTCCTTCCTCTTTGTATCTTTGACAAGGATGTCCACCGTCAGCACCTTTCCTGCCCAGGCTGCTGCTTATTCTGCAAGGAAATACTTTCAAAAACATCCCGTGTGTCTTGCAAACTAGTACAGTAGGAAGAATTCTAGAAATTTAATATACAGGGAAAAAAAGTCAAAATGTAGAAAAAATTAATAATGGCAACTATATTAATTCAGACAGATATGACTTACTGTTTTTTAAATACTGATACTACAAAGTTAAAAGCTTCTTTAGAGGCACATGTTACTAAACTGATATCCATCTTTAAAGTAATCAGGCTTTCAGTTCAGTCTCAGCAATAATATTCTTAAACATGTTTTTTTCGAACAAACACAAGAAAAAGCTGGAGTGAATTTCAAGGCTTGAGTGCTGCTGCCATCTACATGGCAGGAAGACTATAAACCAAAACAAACAACAAAAATCTGTATGTTACATTTACTGGTCAGAGCTGTAAGTCTGCAGATCAGTGTGATCATAGAAAATACAGTTCTGAAACAGAATCTTTTATACCCTGAGTTTCTGTGTGGAAGATTTATGATGATTTAGAGCATAAATTCCCCATATCCTTATTATCAAAAAGATCACACATTATTTAGATAAAATTTAAGAATAAATAAGGAAAATATCACTATTTGACTAGTTTTGGATATTGTTAATATTTTTCTGGTGAGTATTATGTTTTCAAATGCAAAAAAAAAAAAAAAATAAAAAGAAAATCTGCCAGTTGATGCAAAACCAGAGGGACTAATGTGCTTAATGAAACAACATCTCTTACTTGCATACACTACTTACTCCAGTGAGGCTATTTTTCACAACTGTCTTATTGTGAGTATTGCAGAGGAAGAAAACCAGTTTTTATTGCTATATTTGCATGGCACAATGTAAATTCAGGCAGCAAAACTCTGTATTCTGAAATTAAACCTTGAAACAGACAAAAAAGATAAATGTAATTAAATTTGCACTGCTAAGAAATTTTGTCAAGTGCACAGTCTGCTCTAAAAAAAATTTGCAGATGTTTGCTAAGTTTCATAATTTTCCACATTGTTTAGCAACTCACACTGCTTCACCTTGGCAGCTCTGTTTGTACTCACCCATCACAGGCACAACCATCAGGTGTTCTTGCTGAGACGTGCCTCTGTCCCACAGCACAGCTCTCAGACACACTTTAAACTTTCCAGCAGGTGTCATTCAAGAAACAAACTTCCCATGGGGCCCAATAAGACAATCTCAGGTTATTGTGTGAATTTTATGTTGCATCCGAGTTCAAAACTACTTCTCCAAAAGTAAAATTGAATTTTCAGTTTGGGGTTCTATGAATTCAAATGATACCTCAACTCAAATGTTAACAGTAATGCTAAGGTCTAGCAGTTCAGACTACATATTCAATGAGAAAGGAAAGACCAGTCCTTGAAATTCCTCTGCATCCTTTTCTCATCCAAGAAGTATGGCCTGCAAAATCCAGCAGAAATATCCACTACAAGAAGCAGGATTTTGTCTTCACAGGTTCCCCATCACAGATGTGGGTGCAGTGCTATTCAGCACTGGCACAACAACTCTGGGATTTGTGCTGGAGCTCACTGTCCTGTCTGCCTTCAGAGAACTTGTTCTTTCAAAAGGAATAAAATCCTGGGCAGAGGTAATGCTGCTTACTGAACTGGCCCCTTCTTTTCTGAATTTTCAACACTTCAGCTCAGTCAGACTTGCAAAACCTTTTCCCTTGCTAAACTCACAGAATCTCGTCAAGTCCCGTGCTAATGTGCTTTGAGAACATCTTTCATTGGATTAGGGAAGGCCATTACTTCACAAAATACAACCCCAAAATGGAAGCAGTTTATTGCAATTTAAAATTTAAAATATATAAATGCTACAAGAGATTTCAAAATATAATGTTTGGATTTGGAGACATAAATGAACAGTTCAAACTTTAGGGAGGATTCCAGACAGGAATATAAGTCAGTGACCATTCAGTATGACCAGTCAGACCCAGTATAAAAACTCAGAATCCCTCAAATAAAAGAGATGCTGAAGAATTTTGATTTTGTCTTATACTAAAGCAGTAAGTGCTTTTTAATTTTTTTTTAATAATATAATGAATTATGCATGTAATGTAAAAAATGTTTTTAGGATTTGAAAGCCTAAAGTCTATGTTTAAATACGATCCCTGCACATAGTACCCTAAACTTCAATTTCATGCTCATTTCTGTGTGAACTGTTCCACATTTCCACTCTGGTTTGCTTGTTCCTCCTCTGGTCTTTGCACTGAGGCCAGTGCTTGCCTCGGCACAGCCTGGGCACACAAACAGTAGTGAAAACATAAGTGAGGAGACACAGAAGTCTGAGGCTGGAGTGGGGAGAAATCCCCACTCAAGGTGAAACCACACCTTGAGCTGTACAGGTCATTGGACCTCTTGACTTCTGTATGGAAAAAAATACAAGCCAAACCAAAACACCACATTCCTTAAGTAGTTTAGGTATTCATGAATTTTTTCCCCATATTTAAAATTTTAAACAACTATTCAAAAATATTAGCAATTCCTTTTCACAGGATTCCTTCAGAGTAACAAGATAGAAAAATATATTCTTAATTGCCTTGGGACTTTGTTATAAACTCCATCTCTGTAAGCATGAATGCAGTGTACATCAGATCACATTCATAAAATGCTTCTTCAGTTTGGCAACAAGAAACTATTGCAGGAAGTTCATCGGTATTTGTATATTCAGCTCTGAAATTGTCACTTTGTTGCAAAAAGATTTTTCTGAGTGAGTTCATTGTGAGCACATATTATAAAGTTGGTTGTTTGAAAGACATCCAGAAGACAAGGGGAATATATTTGCTTTACTGGGAAATAAATGTACCTAATAAAAAGTTCCTGCCTTACCTTACTGATCCTGTAATGATAATTAGCACAAAGCACGCACAAGCATGTGCCAAACACCGATCATCACTGCACAAACCATTCCAGAGGGCTGCCTGTATTGGCAGGCTGCTGATGTGCACTGCTTTGCAGAATTAAAGACAAGCAATCAAATATCATGTTGCACAAATGTAATTGCTATTATAGCAGTGCTGGGTGTTATGGACAATGCCAATTCCTCGAGCTGAGAGGAACACATCAATTTTTGACATATCTAGATGAAAGAATTTTCAAAAGATTTGCTATCCTGGCCCAAGTGAGCAGATGCTGAATCAAAGCAGTGATGCTTGCTGTGAATGGACTTTTTAATGTCCATGGAAGAGACTCCTGCAACAACTGGATATGGTGGTTTATATGGAAGAGGAGCAAAGGAGAAGACAGGTCCATCCTTTGTTTGCAATTTTTTTCCACTGTCTGCAAGGTCCTTGTAGGGCTACTAAGTTGCTGTAGATATAGTTACAATTTTATTTTTACCTTCTTGATGTTTGTAACTCCCATTCAGCCACAAAAGTTAAGAAGAAATATGTCAGCTAAAGACATGTTCTGACCTCAGCTGTGTTGTGCAAGTATAAATACCTCAATGGTGTTATTCCACACATCCAGCACAAGAAATGCAAGAGTGAAGCTGTAGCACTCAATATTCAATCACCATAATTCAAATACAACCACATATGAACAAAAGATACATTTTAGAGAGGAAAACACCTTCGTCAAGGAAAGTTGTTTCTGAAAAATACCAAATGTGTTAAAACCATTGACCTTTCTCCCCAAAGATGCCATTTTTCTGCGGTGTATTCACAGTCACAGAAAAAATAGCATTAATTATCTTTATCTTCTCTGGATTGCAGCGAATTTGAATTACATATTCTTTAGTTGAATGAAAACTGGGATACTTCTCACAATGCCCTTCCTCCACCCAGTGTATTGGCAGACTGTACACTGCACTGAGGGACATGGACTTATGGGATATAAAAAAAACAGAAGGAAGAAGCTTTCATGTCTTCTTCATTCAAACCATACTGTGGCAACAGAAACCAGGTTTTATCACTCCTGTAGCCATGACACAAGGAAAAAAAGAGATTCATTGCCAGAGAATCTTTCCATACTGAAGAAATCTCCACTCTCCTAGTTAAGGGATCTTATGGCTAATGTGACAATTAGAAGGGATAAATCAGACCAGGATTTCCACCATAAGGTACAGATCCATAAGGCACATCCTCAAGACCTTTGCCTTCAGTAGCACTCCAACTATTGGCAACAAAGAAAGTGAGCTTATTGCTCTGAGCAGTCATTATTTGTCAAACAAGCTTAGCTCCCACAGAATATCAGGTGATAAATGGGTCTAATCAGCTGTATATATTCTACAAATATAACAATATAATATTTTTAGGAAAAAAAAAGTAAAAAAGGTATAGCTGCTTTTGCCAATGAGCACAAATTGATATTCAATGAAGTATATCATTTCAGAAGAGGACCCCAATAGGCTTCTCCAGTTCCATACTGCTACTGCATTTCTACAGATGATGGTAATGGCAGTTTTTTGGGAAAAGGAAAATTTGCATCCTAGACATGACCAGATTTGTTTTCAATTCCCCATTCTCTCCTGTGCACAGAACACTCTTTGTATTTTAGTTATTTCTAAATATTCCATGCTTCATTCAAATTGTGAATTAATTGCACTCTTTTCAGTGAAAACAAATTTTCTAATTATTCGAAATGCATTTGGTTTTGCTCAGTGTTAAAATGCTATTGGTAAGAGAAATCAGAAGGAAAGAGACGGAAAAATTAAAATTTGATGTATGTAAAAAAATACTAAAATTGATATAATTGTTGCATGGTAAAGTTTGAAAGATCACTACAAAACCAAGTGAATGATTTCTAAAAATGAAGAATTGGTATTTTCTATATCAAAAGTACTCAAATTTAGTTGAATACATGTAAATCTATTAGGAATGGAAATGTGAATTGAAGCCAATAAATCAGCCAAAAGAAGCCGATTTTATGGAAGGTATTTCTTCTGAAAATGAACTGTTAAAGGTACCATAATAAACACAAAAATCCACTTCATGTCCACCACACCACATATGTCCTATTTCTTGGCTGTCTTCTACATCTTCTAATTCCTTCATCTCAGCGGGTTTTTTCTAACACACCTTACAGGAGCACACCTTAGATATCCAGGGATGTGGCTTCATGTCATCTGGAAAAGAAAAGCATGATTTCTTAATGATTTACAATTTGAGGCTTAATGATTTTACAATATGAGGTAATAGCTGAGACTTTGTTATTAAAATATATGTTATTTTACAGTCTTTTTATAGAGTAACAAACTCTATAATTTTTGTAACGGAATAAAAACTTTCAGCACCCTCATATTAATATTAAAAGATCCAGAAATCTGCCTCCAGAAGACTGTTCACATTATAACTGATATACCACAGGAAGCAATACAGAACCCTAATCAGCTCAAGAGATGTATGGCATTCCTCTAAACTCTTCTCCTGCCCAGACTTCTGCTTCTTCCCTTCTTTTGCTTTAAAGGAAAGCACTCCAGTGGATCAGCAGAAAGATAATTTCTATCTTAAACTTATAGGATTTTATGTTTCCTCTGAAAATTTTTCTCTTAGCAGAAATAATCCTACAATAGCTGTAAACAGAAGTAATGTTGTATTACGTTTTAATCCTGTCAAGGCATTTTAGAATTCCACAGAAAAACTTTCAATCACCAATTTTAACCTTCAAGATTTCTTTTAATTTGAGGTACAGTAATATTTACAACCTGAATTTAAAATATTACTTGCATTAGAAATACTGCTCAAACAGGTACCACCACATCTTTCATGAGTATATGAACACTGAAAAGCAGCAAACATTATTTTATTCCAGTCTAATGAATATTTTCTTAATTTATCATATTATCTATGATCTTTCTGCCTATCTGTATCATAGACACAGAGACATATGCATTTTATTGATGATGATTATTATGCAGTCTTCTGAATTCACAGTTTAATTTGCTATTAAAAAAACAAAACTGAAAGCAAGCAAAAAAATACACAAATCAAACCAAAACATATGAGTCACAATTCTAGTAACCCAGAACAGTGATAGGATATGACACTACATCTACTGCAGTGAAATTATGATGAATACATCCATGCCTAAGCTGGAAATTCCAGAACTTCTTTCTGGAATAATTCCTGGGCACTGATATTTTATCTACAGTCCCCGGGCCCATCAGTGCCTGTGACCAGTGGGCTGCCCCTACATTGCATCTTCTCCCTGCTTCATGCATCCTCACCAGCAACAGCCTCCAGCACCCCATTCCTAGCTCAGTCCTCATTTACTGCCTCCTGCTTTCAGGAGGATGCAAACACAGAAAATCATTACTTTCTAGGGTGCTTTGTAGCTGAGAATTGACTGAATATTTACTTTTACATTCTGCCTGTGTTCTGATCAACAGCCATAGAGGCGACACAATGCTGATTTTAAAAATACTCTTCAGTGGATGGAACTTGGAGCAGGTAAGTGAATATCTGATGCAGTAAATATAACTTGCCTGATAACAAGATAGTCACACTTTTAGTGCTGTATTTTTAAGCACAGTGTGGCTAATAAGAATGCTGTTCTTCATACATTTTTATTTCTATTTGCTGCAGTTCTGCCTCTCACCCTGTATTTCAGGGACAGCCAAAGACCTTTCCCATCTCTGTGCCAAGGTCTCTAAATAGGACAAGCAATAAAATAAGAATGCCAAAACTGCTCAGATTTTCCCTAGTATCTGTTATGCACCCAGAATTACTTTCTGTCCTGAAAAATGAAAAATTGAAAAGAAAGAATTTTTAATATGTGCAATGGTATTGGAATGAAGGGATGGGAGAGACCATGAGCTGCAGAAGGGACCAGGCAGACACTGTCTGATACTTAAGACTATAAGCAAACAAGGGTTTTACCACTTACGTGGTTTCTATCCAAAAGATGGAAAACACTATACTTTCCATTTGCAGCTTCCAATTCAGTCTTCCATTAGTGAGGCTCAGTTTCCCTCTATTACCAAGTGAAGTAATAGTCTATTTCCTATTCTGCTGCAATGTGTCTTTTGGGGAAAATAAGAGGGAAGAGGCATCTGTGTCTACATGGTTTCTTGTGACTTCAGCTCAAATGTATTCCTTTTTCCCACAGGAGCTGCACTTGCCGAACCCTCCTTAGTGGGACTGCCCCACATATGAAAGCTAAGACACTTCAAGATGTGTTTAGACCCACTACAATCCTCTTAGATTTTGACTTACACAATTCAGAGCATTATCAATCCCCTTAGGAACCGTTTCTTTGGACAAGATTATCTGCATACGGGGTGTAAATTTTTCACCAGTTTGTAGAAGAAAACTCAGGTGAATAGCTCAGACCAAGGAGTCTAACACATCCAGGGACACTCACTTTCAGCTTCTTTTTCGGTTTCCTTAAATGTGGAAAATTTGTCTGGTAAAATGGGAAACTGCTGGGAATATTTATTTAAAGAAAGAAGCACTTTAAGGGATAGTGCACTCTTTATGGGAGATTGATATGATTAAACGTCAAGTTCTACAGAAAACTGTTGCAAATCTTATCTGATTATTATGTTCAAGGCCAGAGCAGAGACAAGTTTGAAAAGCCAAGGCTTTGCATGTCAAACAGGAGTAGTCCTCAGCATGTGGGGGAAAATGGCAGTGATAAACCTACTATTAGGCATCTGGGAGAGAAGCCCAGCATCTCCTCTGTGTGGGGCCTAAAATAGACATGAGCCACTATCACAGATAATGGCAGCCTGTAGCCACATGAAGGGAGAAACTAAAATCCATTTCACTTAGACAAGAAACTGCAGTCTGATATTTACCTGTGTCCATCACTTGTGAAAAGTGTTTACTGTGAATTATCCAAGAGAAAAGTGCAGGTTGAGGGGTTTCATTACCTATCTGAGAGTAGTTCAGATCACACATTAAACACAAAAAATCACAGGTAAATCTTGGATTGGTGTCTTGGGTAGTCAGATGGATTCCTGGTATTCATCTGAGTATCTGCCTCCTACACTTGCTGGAGGCCCATGTGCAGAGTAGTGAGAACATGTGCAGACACAGAAAATGTGCAAGTAAAACAGAGTAAGTTTCATGTGATTTTTGAAAACAAAGATCACTTTGAAAATCAAGCTCATTCTAATGTCAAGGAAAGAGAATGTGCCTTTCACCACCAAAAAACACAATGTACAGATAAATGTGTTAATGGCTGCTCTACAGCCTTCCTTAATCTGGCAGAAATTGTAATAGAGAACCTGTTCTAAGAATAGTTGGAATTCCTTCCAGGTATATTGTCATTATTTTCACCTTTTCCTCATCAGAAGAGAGAATAAAATAAATATATTTCTTAACATCACTTTTGCACCTATGACAACACCTTGTAAGTGAAGCGCAAGAGACTCTTTGTGGATTTATTAATAAAATCTTATACATTAAGTGTGTAAGTTTGCCCAGACTTTGAATATGTGTGAGAGAGATTCTTAAGTCACAGGTTTCACCGAACCGAATGCTGACCTCCCAAGCATTCTCAGGATCCATGATTCGAAGTTAAAGCACCTGAGAAAATCACAGCCAACTGAATGTCATATTATTGTTTCAATGTTTGCTACTAAAAGTAAATGGTAAGCTTTAAGTAAATGTATTGTGTTACCAAATCTTTCCTTTCAAACAAGCACTTCTGTCAGAAGTGTCTTAATTTCTTATCACAGAATTTCATCCGCACAAGGAGCAATAAATAATTCATGTTCCTAGCTCTTTGTTGTGTGTCCCTGAACTGCACAGAGCTGGAAGGCTGACAGCTGTGTCAGGACAAGCACCAAAGATCTGACATGACAAGTGACTAACAAGTTTCTTTCAGTCTATAGTGAAAGAAGACAATGGCATAAAGTGCAAAAACGAAATCCTGAAACAAAATGAAACTGTTTCTTTCTCTTTACCTAAGTGTTTGCTATGAGCTTATTTCCGACCCATAACCTCTGGTCATTTTATAGTACTGCCCAACCCCCTTTACTCCTCACATTCGCCTGGCCATTTACGCCTGTCCACGGATCAATATGAGCAATTCTTGGAGAAATACGATGTCTCCATGACAACCAAGCCACAAATTCTCAGTGGAAAGCAGTGAGACCAGTAGTGAAATCTCCTGAGGTTTTCAGACCTATAAGACAAGATGTCTTAAAATGCAGGAATGGACAGAAACAAAAGCCAGAGTAATTCATTGTTTATTACTAGTTTAATGATGTCAGATGGACCGACTGGAACTCAGTTTTTAAGTTTGGATGCTTTATCAACATGTATTTTTGCCAGTCAATATTCATCTCCTGACAAGCTTTTATTCTTTCCATTACTTCATATAGATATGCAGAGTGTAGAATTGGATATGTAAGTTCCCATCCAAACAGGTACACTTTGCCAGAGAGAATTAATTTATGGTTAAAATTAGTGTTATCTTTAAGGTGCATTAATTCTCCCCTGAACACTGTCGTGCCACCTTGCTTAAATCCTTTCTCCCTTCAAACCTGATCAAATCTTGGACAATCCATATTTTGGCCCGTAATTGTTGTTGAAGGGACTACAGATGGTTTCTGAAGGAGATACTAAGCACCACAGATTGTCAAACTCAGCTCCTTTCTGAGTAGATTATCTATTTCTTTCTAAATCTCATGCTGCTTTCTGCTGGACAACACCGAGTCCAGGTCTATGTGGTTTTAAAATGAATAGATATTTACAATTCATTGGTTTCAATTATTGTAACATATACTGGTGTTCATTTCTCTGGAAAAGATGAAAAGGGAATGTAGTTCAAATCAGGTATATGACAGTAGTTGAACTCCCAAGGAATCTTGGAAGAGTGGAGTGTGCTGAAATATAATCCCCCAGACATGGGTCCTATCCGGGTTCTGAGATGACTTAGGGGACCTGACATGGATTTCAGACTGCACCCTTTGACTGAAAATTAAATCTCAGCAGTGCTCCTTGGGGAAGGATCAGGGGACTGTTGGCAGCTGCCCCCTGTCAGCACAGGCTGCAAGATTTGGAAATCTCTTAACTAAGCTGACAGGCCGCAGAGACGATGAATCAAAAATATGATACACGGATCAGCACACAAAGATGCAGGAGGGTACAGAGAAACCAGATAAAGCAGGAAGGAAAATACCAAGTGAAAAAAGATGTTTAACTCTTTCACTAATGAAGACTATGTACAGGTTATGTGTGTTGTGTATATGGGTCAAGCTCACAGTTTGCTTAAAAGATCTTAGTATTTAGTCGCACAGAATGTTTTTAATCAGCTGTGACTCGATACAATTTATATTTAATTGTTTCCTTTTGGGATTCATTTAATAAATTTCATAGATGTTCCATAACGAGAAAGATAATGAAACTACATGAAGATAAATCTTTCGCTTACCAAAAAGGATGCACTTTATGGATGTTCCTGTATTTAGCTGAATCAATGTTAAGAGTCATTAAAATGAAATAATGATTGCGAGCTGATTTAAAGGAAAGAATCAAGCTATTTAATGCCACCAATTTGCTTTCCTCCAGAGAAACAGTGTTCGAGTGCCCACTGCTGCATTCAGCTGCAGTATATACAGTACTTCTAATTTTTCATAATCTCACGCTACCTTCAAAGGGTCAGACGTTGTACATATATTAAGTAAGCAGTGTAGTCCAAAAGTAATTATAATGAACTAGTAGTGTCAGCTTTCTTTTTGGTCATAAAGCCTTTATCCTTTCTAAGACCTGAATTCCTGATGAAAGAGGAAAGGATAACAGCTCCACACTGTGACCCCTGGAGGTGACCATTAATTTGACATTGCAGCTGCTAAAAAGGAAACAGCATTACAATGTGCTTTTTTTTACAGACCCAAAAGCTGTGTCAGATTTATCACTTGATACTTGGTGGCTGTCTTTAAATGCCTCTCACCTGGACTCTCAGACTCTTCCAAGACACATCTGTCAGGCGTATCCTCCACATCTTGGAAGTTTGCCGAGTTGGAGCTCTTGTCATGCTTCAGCACACTGACTGGAGCAAGAAAGAATAAAAACACAGGGAGGGAGAAAAGTAATGTATGCAGAAATCAACACTTCCTGGTTTTCTGCAGAGCTTTCAATGCTGAAGACATAATTTGTAAACACAAATAATAGATTTAAAAAATATAAGCTACTTATATGCAACCACAGGACAGCTGAAAAATCTATAGATAAGAATGTATGCAGGGTGAAGTTTGAGGCATCAGCTTAAATGAGGTCCCTTTGAAGTTGAAAACCATTTTTTTCTTACAGAATCCTAAAATAATAAAATAATTTAGAAGTCATAAAAAAACGCTTATCTTTTTCACGAACAACATAAAAGATCAATTAGATGGTTTTGTAATTACTGGAATAATTCAGCAGGGAGAGAAATGGTATATGTTTTAAGATGAAAATACGTTGAATACAACAATCTGGAATGTAAGAAAATTACTGATAATTCCAAAGTGCAGTGAAACCCAGAGCTGCAGTTTGAAGATTACCAAATTTGGTTACATGTTTTACTTGATTGCTAAAATAATTTTAATTTCAGAGCATATAAATATTTTCAGGTAAACAATTACCTGTCTATAAATGACTTTCTAGTTCACTTGGCTTTGGAATAAATTCCACATAACTTTTCCTGAGCAGAAGAGAGATATTTCCCTTGTCAAAGTCCATTTCCCTCTCTTCTGCTTCATATCTCTACATGGAGCCACAAATACAGCTTGAAGATGAATTATAATTATTAAGCAGTATATTATAGCATAGCCCAGTAAAGACTAGATCTCAAATTTTCTGTCCTGTTAAAACTCTTAGCTGATCCTATTTCCTAAGACAATAACAGTGGCTAGAAAACATTTCTGTGTTTTTGTAAAATCTAGAAAAATAAGCAAAGTTCCAAACTTTGGGGATACCAATGGCTATGCACAATCTTCATGTTCTTCTGTCTTCTTCTCAAAAAAGGAAATTCTTTCCCTTATAAATTTTGACGGATTGTTTGTTTCAGACCAAATGAATATTTGCTGAAGGATTATTAAATTTAAACACGTATTTAAGTTTTCCTAGATTATAAGTGAATCAACAAGGCCTCAGGGCAGTATGCAGACATGAGGAGCTCAAAAGACACATATTCCACTTCAGTGCTCTGTGCTTTCCATGGGTTTGCAGCTAGTGATCCCAGGTCACCAAAAGGTTCCATCATTCTTGACCACAGAAACTACACAGAGTCTGTTTGAAGAAATCAGGGTTTCAATACTATTGTGGAATTAGAACCTTGAAAATGTAATATTAAAACATAATAAATAATAAAACATACGACAGTGGCACCACGCATTTCACCTGAAAAAACAAAAAAAACCCCAGTAAATTTTGCTTAAAAGGTTTACCTTGGATAGCAACAAATAAGTATGCACAACCCTGTGCAGGTAAAACAGGAACCATTGACATGATAATCTCCATAGGGTGTGTTAACATTGAAGAACAATTACAGTTACTAATAACAAATGTTCTTGTTCACACATAAAAAAGCTACGATATGTAAAGGAAGAAATGTCTTGAAAAATATTTGTGCTTTTCTCTTGTTACAACATTTTAATAATTTTCAAATACATTAAGTGAAGAGTCCCCCTTCAAAAGAAAAATTGGAATATACAAGTACTCATATTATGTTTAAAAACAAAATTTTATGCCAAAATTTTACAGCACTTTTTCTAAAACCGTTCTTCTTACAGTAGAGTTAGCTGCACTCTTCTGAATGACAGATTGAGTCATTATAACTGCATGAATTTAAAATTCAGAACTACTCTGAAGTAGAACAATAGGAAAATTTCCAACAGAGTGCCCTGTGATGAAAGAGAGAAAACAAAAAGTGCAGCTATGCCTTTGGAGAGAAAGCAAAAAATCACAAGGCCTGTCTGTTTTGGCCCAATAGTAGCCACCAAAAATTCAGAATCAGCCTTTCAAAATGAATTTTGTATTTTGACCCAGTCAAGAACTATCATAGTGAACCGAAGAGGGAAGACACTTCCACAGCACCAGAATCAGCTGCAGGTAGGAGCTGCCAGACTTCCCTACTGCAAGTCTGTGCTGAAAGTGCCTTACATGGGACTAAACAAACCTGCCCAAGTGCTCTGCTCCTTCCATGTCAACACCAGTCAGGTAATTTCAACTGACCAGCTGGAATTTACAACACAGTACTGAACAGCGTTCTTAGTAAAGGTACCAGACTCAGTTGAGAGGTAACTCAGAGCATAACAAATAAAACCCAGCTGGAAGCAGGTCCATACACAGATGAAGTACCTCACAAGGAAGCTGTGAAATGAACAAGAAAGAAACCAAGACAGGACAGCAAGATGCTTGGACAAAGCAGGAGGATTTCCAGTTAATGTATCTGAATAGATACTGCAGAGATTTGGGGAAATCTGTGACATGATGGAGTCATTAAAAGCCAAGAAAGACAAAAAATGAGAAGAAATGACAGGCAGGGCTGATAGAACTGACTCACTAGACAAAACCAGGCAAATAAACTTCACAAGACCCTGGATTATGAGGTTACATAATGAGTGTATGCAGTGAGCAAAAAAGGGACCAAGGCAGAGACCTTCAGATCTTTCTTTTCTGAAACATCACATTATATGCTCAACTGGAAAAGAAAAGTTTCTTAAAAATATCATAGAAGAACAAAGGGAATTGAAAAGTTAAAAATAAGGAAAGTACAGCCTGGCCCAAATAAAGAGTGAAAGTAAAAATGGCATTATGTAATCAAGGAAAAATAGAAAAAATATATCAGCACTAGCACCTACTTTACTTCATGTTCTCCTAGGGGAATAGGATTTTATGTACAAATATCAATAGGAGAAAGATTGTTCTGAATTGCTTATACTGAGGATGCTGAGGAATTTAAGTTATTTAAACATAAACAGTGTCATCTTTATTCAGAAGACACTCTGTCCTACTTTGGGTTTAAATGGACCTTAAAATTACTTTTGTTTCCCTTTGGAAGGTAATCTCTGTAGTCAAAGTGACATAAATGGAGTATAAATGAGCCCCAAATTTATGAGTCATGAGCAAGTTAAAAACATTTATGATATTATAACTCCAATAACGTTTTCTTTCTCTTCAGTGCAGTGTTATTTCCATTGTTACATGGACAGAAGATATTACCTTTGTTAGCATAGAAATAAGGTAAAAGGACATATTTCATTGAAGCAAATGACCTTGAACTTAGCATATGAAGATGACATAAATCTTCATTGCACAGGATCAATCTTGAGAATTGTAGTATTTTTTTCTGATGCATCCTAATGAGCTCTTAGGACTTGTTTACTGAACTTGATACCCATTTTCTTACATTGTCGAAACAGAAAAAGTCATTAAAATAGATATGGGATTTAGAATAGTAAAGGAATGTCATAAGATCATAGTATTTATGAAACATTTATGTATCTAGTTTCAAAATATTTCGAACAATTCCACACAATAAAAACAAATGATTTCCAAAAAGATACCACAGACTTGTGATCAGTGTTGAAGCTGTTCTTTGTGAATATAGCCTAATCAGGAAATACAGCAACAACTCAATATGGTCATTTTTTTCTACATGTTTGGTTGAAACTCTGAAAAGTCTTGTTCCACTCTGGAAATATCCTACACTAAAGCCTAAATAACATGCTCTGCATACCAATTTTTAGAGGGCAGACATACTGGAGAAAGAAGTTTGCATAATTCAGGCAAATAAAACATTTAACATTTTCTGATAAGACGCCTGTTATTGATAAGGTGGATTAGTGACTTAAAGACTGTCTGTCTGCAGGGAAAACAAGAACTTATTTGTCATTCAAAACAACTGGATAGGGCAACAAAAATTATTTTTCATTCTAAGATGTTAGGCAAGACAGGACATATATGAGAAATGTGACAAATATATTTATGGCTCAATATGGAATACAAAGCAACCCGAATCTAAATAAAACTGCATTAAAAAAAAAAAAAAAAAGCTGTAAAGGGAAACAAAATAGTGGTATTTTTTTATTTTTGTAAATGGATAAAACAATTGTGCTGCAATGTCACTTCTGAGCTGTTTGGCTTGTACAGGCACTTACTGTATTATACCTAAGAAGCTTGATGGAGCAATAAATGCTTTGAGTACTATTTTAAAAGTGCATTTCATAGATATCATAAAAATATAATGAAAAGTATAGGAACAGCCATATTTGCTGAGACTAAAAGATATCTGTGTCAGAGTCCAACAAGAGTCCAACAACCGTAAAATAATACTTCACCAGAATTTGTCCAAAAGTCTAAGTCCTTGAAACCCAAGGAATTACAAAGAATTTTTTCCCCTCCTGTAATAACTCACAGTAGATTTCTGTTTCACTAATTTCTTCAGTTTTTCTTAAATGTGGAATTTTTCAGTCCTTAACATCCTATACCCTAACTCACTTTGTCACAGCAAATTCCATAGTTTTATCACACAGGAAGGCACCTAATTTTGTTTGTCTGCCTTTGTCTGCCATTCCTTGTTGCCTTAACGTGCAACTTCTTGTTTGAGAAAAGGCAGAGGTCCGAGCCCAGCACACTCTCTCCATGACCCCTGTGGCTGAAATCCTTTTTGTTTTCTCTCTTTTCCAGACTGATGGCTCCTACTCTACTCCTCTATTTCCATGCATTTCCAGCTAAACTAAAAGGGTAAGATTATTTCACAAATATTACAGGAGACGCAGAACATATTCATGAGCTGCCAAGAGAAGCATCAGCAGGCTCTGCAATGCCAGAGACACAGGAAGGGCGGATGCAGAGGTGACACCGCGCAGGTGACGCTCCCGCCCAGCAGGGTCCCAGCAGGCAGGAGCCTGCCTGGATGGGCACGTGCCCTCGATGGCACCAGCGCTGGGCACAGCTCCAGGATCACTCACAGGTTTTCCAGGTGATACTCCCTGGTATGGTGCTTGCCCCTTGTTGCCACACCGGGTATGCTGTTGACTCACGCTCAGCTTGCGATCCAGATTCTTTCCTGAGAAATGATATCTTGCTTTTTCTTCCCCCATTCTGTCTCTTTGCAGAAGATTAATCCTACCTCAATCTAGATCCCTGTCCTCATCCTTATTGAATTGAATCAAATTTTTTCCAGACCATTTCTCAGGCTCTACAAACCAAAATTCATTTCACTGACAGAAGATATCAGATGCCAGTCATTTCCTAAATTTTGGTGTCATTTGAAAAAATTCTACATAGATGTATGTAATTATCATTTAATTGAGAATGGCTGGTTATCTTCTGATAATTAAATATCACAGTGGCCCAGTTTCCATTATATTTTAATTTAAAAAAGAAAGATGAAGATATTAACCTAGAGAAACACATTATTATTCTGAAGTGAATGCTGCAATATATGGAAGTTGAAATAAGCCAGTATGGAACCAGTCAAACTGGAAGGTCCTGTAACTTGAATCCATTCCAACAAAGGCAGAAGTAGAACCTGACATGATGTGGCAGAGCTCAGTTTGCAGAACAACCAATCCACGTGCCTGGCAAGCCTGAGCTGGGTCTCGCACTTCAAAGGCACCTGCAAACAGAACGTGTGCCACTCACCAAGTGAACGGCAGGTAAAGAACATTTTTCCTTCTGTATGTGAGAAAGGTTTAAATATAACAAAAAATCTCTTAAAAGTCCATTTTCCTCTCGCCTTATATGTATGAGGGCAGAATTCCTCCAGACAGAAAAATTGAAATTTTCACTTATTCTTTTCCCAATATACCTTGAAGTTTTATTCACCCAGAGGGACTTCCCTACTTCTCTCAACTAAAATGTAATGGCATGTAACAAATTATGCTCTCAAAGGACATCCCATTTTTGTTTCATTAGTGCAATGAAACATTCACTCAATTTTAAAGCAGTTGTCTTGATTTTAGTTGTGATTTATAGCAGATTCTGTCCATGTATTCTGTGTAGTATATATTATAAAACACCTAACTAGTTAAATTTGTCTCTGTGGGTTCTGCTGCAAGAAATAAAATACTTCCCCATAAAATTCCACACAGCATCTACTGAACATCTCTGAAGCACAAGCTTCTGTAAAACTTAGGAGGATTTAAAAAAGGAAAATGCAACCTGAAACTGCCTTTTATTAATTCTTGTATTGTTATATATTGTTTCTTCTTCTCAATGTCCTCTCTGGCTAGAAAGTCTAAATTTTTCTCTTTTCCAATCTCCCTAAGTGTGTCTTTTAATCAAACATGATGTAAGACTGAATTATTTGATCAACATTATTTATCCCTCTCTCATTTTTTTTCCAGCCAGTAATTGAGAGACAATAGGGAAGAGAAAATGGTTACAGAATTAGTAAAGAACTCCAAAACCTGTTAGTTACTAGACAATCAGTCTTTTTAAAGTATATAGCATTTCCTCGCCTACACAAATTTTTAAAAATATCACAGGATATGCTGGGATGGAAGGGACCCACAAAGGTCATCAAGTCCAGCTCCTGGCCCTGGACAGCACCATCCCCAGGAATCCAACCCTCTGCCTGAGACCATTATCCAAATCCTTCTTGAGCTTTTGGTGCTGTGACCGCTTCCCTGGGGAGCCTGTTCCAATGCCTGGCCACCAACCACCAAGGATGAAAAACCTTTTTCTGCAGAAGAACCTTTTTCTAAACAAATACAGCAAAATTCCCCCTGGTTTCTGTACATTAGACCAATGGTGCTGCAGAGCACACAGTGCAGATATGAATCCTATCACTGTGTCAGTACTGCCTACAAAACCAAGAAATACTTCCTATTTTTAAAATTGCATAATTGACAGCATTGACATTATTATTTTCGTGACAGTAGATTGATTTGGTATTCAAGTATAAAATCATTAATCAGGAAGCTTGCAGAGGATTCTGGTTCAGTTCCTTTCTACAGAGAGATTCTTGCTGTAGATTGCATCAATTTACTTTTAAAACCAAAACGAAATGAAAGTGTGCAGCATAGTTATGACACTGACACATCCCTGTGCATAATATGAGTGTTACAGCTTTCATAGTCTTCCCATCTCTCGATCAAAGCTGTCCAAATAGCTTAATCCATGGAAAAAAAAAAAAAACCACACAGAGCCTCTTTATTAACCTCTTCTGGCCAGATTATTGTTATTCTTTTGCATTATGGCCTTGGAGATGTATTACTGATAGGGAGGTAAAGCCAACTGCAGCACAGCATGACTCTGCTGAATGGCTGCTGTAGGAAAGTGGAAGTACTTATTTCCAAGACATTTCTGTGATGCTCCCTACTGTTAAAATGTTATCTGACT